ACGGAAGCATGGACAGCATCGAGACGAGCTGGAAATAAACTATAATTCGAACAGTCTGGATTAAAGTCTGAGCGCTGCTGCATGTTTGTCGACAGGAAGTCGTCGGAGAAAAGAAGTCGTGCATTCAAAAGTTGAAAACAAAGAGGTCTGAAAGAAACCTATTTAGGTTTGAAACAATTCATATGCAAAAAACATCCCAGACTAGGGTTATTTCAAGACGTCATTTCAAATGGGGGAAATAAAGTCTTTTGGTTTCACATCAACACCTCATTTCTTTTCATTGTTTTATTTTCAGATCAATACATGAATAATAGATTTATCAACATTTGATTTTATACTAGAAAGCTGAATTAACAATATTGAGGCATGAAACTAATGATTAGACATATTTATAAGTCTCTTCTAAAAGTAAAAGGAATATCCTGCTATTCTCATAGCCAACAGGCAGGATTTCCTGTGGTCTTTTTTAGGTTATTGTCATAAAAAAACAAACACTATAAATCTATAAATGTACTTTAAAAAATTGTAGATTTTTTCAGATCCCCCTAGAGACTAATATAACTTATCATGCTGATATCTGGCCCCATATTATACAGTCTTATTACTGAAATAATATAAATGCAAATATTTAGAATACAGTTGAAACCAGATGTTTACATACACTCTAAAAAACGGGAACATAAGCATTTAAAAAAAATGTCTGATGGTAAATTATACTAAATGTTTACTATTTTAGGTCTGTTTGGATTACCTAAATCATTTACATTTGCTAAATGCAAGAATGATAAGAGAATTTTTTTGAGAATTTTTTATTAATTTCTAGACAGTCAAAAGTGTACATACATTTCCTTGGTATTGTTTTAGCTTTGATTTTAAACTGTATAACTTTAGTCAAATGTTTTGAATATCCTTCCACACGCTTCTACCAATAGTTTGCAGGAATTTTGGCCCATTCCTCCAGACAGAAACTGAGTCAGATTTGTTGGCTGTCTTGCTTGCGCGAGCTTTTTTAACTCTGCCCACAAATTTTCTATAGGATTTAGCTCAGGGCTTTGTGATGGCCACTCCAAAACATTCACTCTGTTGTCCTCAAAGCACATTTGAACTAATTTGGCAGTATGCTTAGGGTCATGGTCTGTTTGGAAAACCCATTTGTGGCCAAGTTTTAATTTCCTGGCTGATGTCTTGAGATGTTGCTTCAGTATTTCTACATAATGTTCTTTCTTCATGATGCCATCTATGCTGTTAAGTGGACCAGTCCCTCCTGCAGCAAAACAGCCCCACAACATGATGCTGCCGCCCCCATACTTCACAGTTGGGATGGTGTTCCTAGATATGTAAGCTTTCCCCTTTGTCATCCAAATGTAACACAGGTCATTATGGCCAAACAGTTTAATCTTAGTTCCATCAGACCACAGGACAAGTCTCCAAAAATTTGTCTTTTTCCCAGTGTAATTTAGCAAATTGTAGACTGGCTTTTCTGTTGATTCTGACTTATTGATTTTCCCATGTTGTCACACAATGAAGCAGTGTGTTTGAGGTTTTCCTTAAATACTATACAGTTGTGCCTCCAATTAACTCAAATGTTGTCAATTAGCCAATCAGAAACTTCCAAAACCTTGACACCATCATCTGAGCTTTTTATGAGGCATGATAATCTTATTGTATGTAAACTTGACTTTCAAGAAAAGTTATAACAATTTCTCCACAGTTATAACAATTTCAGCACATTTTTAGCTCTTAAGCGGCTATTTAAAATACTTTGAATATTTTATATTTTGTTACAGGCATACAGTGTCATCATGCAACTGTTTTGCAGCATATGAAATGTCTCAAACAACATTTTTAACTGTCCAAAATGGGAAAAAATGTTGTTATTACTCTCTGATAATAAAAAAAAAATGGTTATTATGCGTTAAAGAAGTCTGGAAAAAGCGTTATATGTAAATTTGGACACATATATGGACACATATATATTCACATGCATGTAAAAAAACACCTTGGGCCTTAAGACGTTTAAGTATAAACATTCTGCCAATCAATTCATATGACACCATAAAACTAGTGTAAACAATAATTACAATAGAAAGTATGTAGTTTAGTCCTAAAAAATCAGCAAAACACAGTAAATATTACTATAAGGTATATACTATACTATAAGGTATATACTATACTATAAGGGGTATATTGCTATAAACCACAGTTTACTGTAGTAAAATCTAAAATATATTTTTTGCAGTTTATCGGCTACTATAGTAGATACTACAGTTCTGATTTGTTTATTTATATCCTACTAAAGCAACAGTATAATTCAAGTACTTTACTATATTATGGTTTAAATAAACTAAAGTGTTTAATATAAATTACTATAGTCTTTTTTCATGTGGTCTGACAATGCTTGCCAGCCAACTGATTATCTCAAAACATGAGATAACTAAAAGAAAATGCTACTTGGTCAGAATAACAAATGCTAGCATATGTTGTGATTGAAAATCAATAGGGTATACTACTAAACACCACGACTTAGTGTAGTAAAATCTAAAGTACTGCAGTTTATCAGCTCACCAGTCAATACAACAGTACTGTTTATTTACATCCTGCTAAAGCAACAGATTAACTTAAGAACTTTAATATAATATGGATAAAATACAGTAAAGTTTTTACAATAGTATTTTTCATGTGGCCTGACAATGCTTGTCAACCAACAGATAACAATTATCTCAAAATATTGCCAGATTTATATGCACTTCTTGCTGAATTGGTCCAACCTAAATCTCTCACCGTATTTTGTGAAGGACATTCAGACATTCAGAAATTCACCTTCTATTGAGGTAAAGTTAGTTATATTGTTATAGTTGTATAAATTGTTTCATTGTCCTCATTTGTCCTCATTGTCATCAAGTCGCTTTGGATAAAAGCGTCTGCTAAATGACTAAATGTAAATGTGAATATACTTGCACATTTGGACTTTCTCCTTAATAATGCAATTTTAGAAAAGTTTTTTTTTTTTGCTAATTATAAATAGGCAAATTATATTAGCAACCAAAGTCAAAGTACTAGCAGACTGTCAAAGTACAACACTGTACATTTAAAAAATGAAATGTTGTTTTGAATGCATACTTATATTCTGTAGGCAAGTATGTTACACCGACTTTACCTCAATGTTAATAATACAGTAGGTTTACTTGGTTGTTTAATTATATCATACTATAGCATCAGACTAATTAAGAAACTTTACTATAATATGGTTCAAATACAGTAAAGTATGACTATAGTATTTTTTCATGTGGGCTGAAAATGCTTGTCAACCAACCGAACAATTATCTCAAAATATCAGCAGATATGTATAATGTAGAACTTTACTATAATATAAAACTATATACTACTTTACTATATATAACTTTACTATAAAATTACAATGCTAGTCAACAAACCGATAATGATTACTTCAAAATATGAGCAAATTTATTAAAAGAAAATGCAATTTAGTCAAAATAACAAATATTATCATATGTTGTGATGGAAAATCTGTATATACTGCTATAAACCAGTTTACTGTAGTAAAATCTAAAGTATACTTATTGCAGTTTATCAGCTTAATAGTAAATACTAAAGTTCTGGGTTGTTTATGCATATCCTACTATATGACCAGATTAATTCAAGAATTTTCCTATAAAATGGATAAAACAGATTAAAGAATTTACTATGAATTTTTTTTTTTCATGTTGGCTTGTCAACCAACCGAACAATTATCTGAAAATATCAGCAGATTTAGTAAAAGGAAATGCTACTTGGTCGGAATAAAAAATGTTGTCATAAGTTGTGACTGAAAATGTATAGGGTAGGCTATATTATACTATACTACTATAATATAGTGTATATTATACTGCTATACAGCATAGTTTACTGTGGTAAAATCTAAAGTATTGCAGTCAGCTAACTGTAGTTACTACAACAGTTCTGGGTTGTTTCTGTATATCATAAAGTAACTTTAATAAAATATGGTTCAAATACTCAAATACACTAAAGTATTTACCATTAATGAATATAGTATTGTTTCATGCAGGCTTACAAGGCTTGTCAACCAACCGATAATTATTATTTTAAAATATGAGCAGATTTAAGGGAAATGTTACTTGGTCAGAATCACAAATGTTATCATACATTGTGATTGTAAATATATAGGCTATATTTTAATATACACCATGGTTTACTGTGGTAAAATTGAAAGCATTGCAGTCAGCTCACTGTAGTTAAAACTACAGCATTGGGTTGTTTATCCTACTAAAGCAACAGGTTAATTCTTTAAAACTTTGCTATAATATGGTTCAAATACACTTATTTACTATAAATGACTATAGTATTCTTTCATGTGGGCTTACAATGCTTGACAACCAACCAATAGTTTTAAAATATGAGCAATTTATCAAAAGAAAATGCTACTTAATCACATTAACAAATGTTATCATGTGTTGTGACTAACAATCTAGGCCTATATAGTAAATTGTGCTTCTATACACCACGGTTTACTATAGTAAAAAATAAAGTACATTTATTGCAGTTTATCAGCTTACTATAGTAAATAATACAGTTCTGCGTTGTTTTATATCCTGCTATAGCAACAGATTAATTCAATAATTACTATAATATGGGTTAAATAAACTAAAGAAACGTTATTTAATATAGATGACTATATTTTTATGGAGGCTGACAATGCCTGTCAACCAACAGATAACGATTATCTCAAAATATCGGCAGATTTATCAGCACTTCTTGCTGAATTGGTCCTACTTACAACTCTTTCCGTATTTTGTGAAAAACATTGAGAAGAACAATAAAAGTGGATACAAATGAGTGGTGAAGTAACAATGGGTGGAAACACCCATGGAGTTACACTTTCCTATTGTGCGACGCTGCGTTTAACAACAAACCGTTACTTTGAAAATCCAATCCGCAACACAGTAACGTTCCAGTTTGATACATTTGATCAACGCTCTCACCTCTCGGAGCTGGTCGAGCTCCTGTCTGACGGTCTCATACTCGCTCTCCAGCTCTTCAAAGCGTTGTTTCAGCTGCTGGTTTTCCTCCAGCACCACCAGACCGTACTCCGCCGCCTGGATCTTCTCCCGGCTCGTCTCGCTCAGCTCCCGGCTCAGGCGCTCGATCTCCGCCCGGAGCCAGTTCGGCCCGGCCTCGGTGACCAGTTGCGCCCCGGGACAACCGTCTTCATCCCCGGACATGTTTGTCCCCCGGCTCAGTCTATTACAAGCGATAACGGACCGAGCCCGTTAATTCCTCGTTCTCAGTCATCAAGTTCATCGAATGTATAAAGCGCATACGTTTACTGAATGCGCTGTTTTATCTTTTTTAGGTAGCAAACACATTTTACAAACTTATACTCCATGTTTGACCATGATTTCCTCTACTTCGGGTGTCATTCCTGAGATTAGGAGGGGGAACTCGGTTTGCTCTGTGAGATCATCTGGCAGGAATACGAACTGATTTTGCGACCCGGGTGTTGTGGGTAATGTAGTTTTGCGTTTGGATTTTGAGTTGGGTTGTGGTTTGAGTTAGAATACATTACCCATAATGCTTTTTGTTTGTACACGAAGGCAACACAGGATGCACAGATGGTTCAGGGACTGAATGCCAAACTCTCCGCAAAATGTTGCTCAATACCGCCATCTGCCGGTGGATTGATGGACATATTTTAGATACATTTGGATGGATTTCCATGCTTCTTTGTTTTAAGGATGCATTTACCCCTACATGGCATGGTGTTGCCCTCAAAACCCCTCTTTACATTTTTAAAAAATAAAATAACATTAAAAAAAGTCTAATAATAAGTTGGTGACCAATGTTTGATTGTTATTATCTATAAACTAAAATGGTAGTTATTCATTTATTGCCTTGTGCAGTTGGACCACTTTTCTTAAAACAATAACATCTTTTGGATTAGGAATGTGCAAAAATATATAGTTATTACCATAATCTATCTATCTATCTATCTATCTATCTATCTATCTATCTATCTGTCACGATCCGGTAAAGGGAAAAAGGAGCAAGGACCCAAGCGCAGAGTGAAGTAGGATTTATTAATTAAAAAATAAAATAAAAGGCAAAATAAACAACCCCGAGGGGGAAAACACTTCTACAACAAACAATAAATCAAACAAACAAACAAACTTGACTGGGCAGGCACGACAAGGCAGGACTGGACACAGCAAGACAGGTAAACATCGACAACATATGATGACGAACTCGCAAAGGACTGAAAACATGAGGGGGATTATAAAGCAAAAAGTAAATTGACACACAGGTGAACATGACAAACTAATAATGGGTTAACAAGGAGGGTGGGACTAGACAATAGACGGGAGAGCGCATGACACAGAGAGACAATACAAGCCATGCGCTCACATAACACAACACTGAAGCACACGACAAAAGCACGTGACCACAATGTAAACACCGAGCCACGTGCTTTGACAAAAGACGCAAGACACGAGCACACGATGAATGAAAACTCACCGTGCGCTCACATATGCAGCATGCATGCTTCATCCCAGCGCCGACCAAAACCGAAACCAACAAGACTGAGACGCTGGGAATGAAACACCATGCTGCTGACAGACGAAAACACAAACACGAGTACAAGAGCGCACGCGTCTGAGGGACGCAGAGCGCACGCGGCCGCGTCAAGCAGGAGCGCGCACACTCTGCGTACAACCACGACGGCGCGCGCGCACACAGAGACAGAAACAGGACCAGACACGAGTAGTGTCAGAGATCCGCCACCAAAACAAGAATTTACAAGATCAGAGTGGCAGAACCCTGACACTACCCCCCCCCCAAAAGGGACGCCACCTGGCGTCCCTAAAGGGAACATCCAACAAGGTACAAGACAGACAAGAAACACCACAAGACAACAAAACAGGCAACATCAACAAACACAAGACAGGGAGGTGAACAGGCAAGACATGAAGGGGGGGAGGGAGGGGAGCCAAGTCAGACCCAACAAGACAAACAAGGGAGGGATGGGAGGGCAAAACCAGGGAGGATCAGGAGGGACAGTCCAGGACAGGTGCAATGGGTGAGGGACCCCGGCAGGGAACCAGGGTGGAGCCGGAGGATCAGTCCAGGGTGGCAGAGGCATGCTCCAAGGTGGAGCAGGAGGGACAACCCAAGGAGGATCGGCCTGGGATAGCAAGGCAGGAGGCCTGTAGGGAGCTGGCTGGGATGAAGGCCTGTGGGGAGCCGGCTGGTCTAGAGGCGACTTAACTAAAGCCGGCGGGGCTGAAGACCAGAGGGGAGCCGGCGGGGCTGAAGACCAGAGGGGAGCCGGAGGGGCTAGGAGCCGGGCTGGGACCGGCTGGGCAAGACGTCTGGGGTGCGCCGGCAGGGCAAGACGTCTGGTTGGGGCCGGCAGGGCAAGACGTCTGGTTGGGGCCGGCAGGGCAAGGAGCCGGGCTGGGGCCGGCAGGGCTAGACGTCTGGTAGGTGCCGGCAGGGAAAGACGTCTGGTAGGTGCCGGCAGGGAAAGACGTCTGGTAGGTGCCGGCAGGGAAAGACATTTGGTAGGTGCCGGCAGGGCAAGGTGCCGGGCTGGAGCCGGCTGGGCAAGACGTCTGGGTGGTGCCGGCAGGGAAAGGAGCCGGGCTGGGGCCGGCAGGGCTTGACGTCTGGGTGGTGCCGGCAGGGAAAGGAGCTGGGCTGAAGCCGGCAGGGCAAGGAGCCGGGCTGGGGCCAGCTGGGCAAGACGTCTGGGGTGCGCCGGCAGGGCAAGGCGTCTGGTTGGGGCCGGCAGGGAAAAGAGCCGGGCTGGGGCCGGCAGGGCAAGACGTCTGGTTGGGACCGGCAGGGCAAGGAGCCGGGCTGGGGCCGGCAGGGCTAGACGTCTGGTAGGTGCCGGCAGGGAAAGACGTCTGGTAGGTGCCGGCAGGGAAAGACGTCTGGTAGGTGCCGGCAGGGAAAGACGTCTGGTAGGTGCCGGCAGGGAAAGACGTCTGGTAGGTGCCGGCAGGGCAAGGTGCCAGTCTGGAGCCGGCTGGGCAAGACGTCTGGGTGGTGCCGGCAGGGCAAGGAGCCGGGCTGGGGCCGGCAGGGCAAGACGTCTGGGAGGCGCCGGCTGTGCAAGACGTCTGGTTGATGCCGGCAGGGCAAGAAGCCGGGCTGGTGCCGGCAGGGCTAGACGTCTGGTTGACGCCGGCAGGGCAAGACGTCTGGGTGGTGCCGGCAGGGCAAGACGTCTGGGTGGTGCCGGCAGGGCAAGGAGCCGGACTGGGACCGGCACTGAGCTGCGCTCTGGGGCTGAAGCCGACACTGGAGGGCGCTCTGGGGCTGGAGCCGACACTGGAGGGCGCTCTGGGGCTGGAGCCGACACTGGAGGGCGCTCTGGGGCTGGAGCCGACACTGGAGGGCGCTCTGGGGCTGGAGCCGACACTGGAGGGCGCTCTGGGGCTGGAGCCGACACTGGAGGGCGCTCTGGGGCTGGAGCCGACACTGGAGGGCGCTCTGGGGCTGGAGCCGACACTGGAGGGCGCTCTGGGGCTGGAGCCGACACTGGAGGGCGCTCTGGGGCTGGAGCCGACACTGGAGGGCGCTCTGGGGCTGGAGCCGACACTGGAGGGCGCTCTGGGGCTGGAGCCGACACTGCAGGAGAGGTCTTCCTCTTTAACCTCCGCTTTTGAGTGCGGGTCAGCCCTTGCGGGCTGGACATGTGTTGGGAGGTGGCGCTGGTGTAAGGGATCCTCTTCTCTTGAAGGATCACTCTCTCCTTTAGCTGCAGAGCAGAGGGCAACAGAGAGCTGGGATTGGGATGTTCGCCATAAGCAGCCTGATGAACCAAATGCTCCACAAACTGATGGTAAGATAGCCCTCCCAATTTCAGCATCTGCTGGATATTGAGGGGCTTGTCGAGGGCATAGTTAAGGAGGTTCACCAGGGCTTGATCATTAAACCCCAGCCCCTCTGCTGCCACACAAAATCTAGCCGCAAAACTTTCCACCTTCATGCCACGTTGCCGCAGCGACTGCAGACTGATGAGCTGCAGTATGCGGCTGGAGAAGGGGCTGTCTTCACTCTGCTGGGTCCTCATTTTTGGCGAGTTCGTACTGTCACGATCCGGTAAAGGGAAAAAGGAGCAAGGACCCAAGCGCAGAGTGAAGTAGGATTTATTAATTAAAAAATAAAATAAAAGGCAAAATAAACAACCCCGAGGGGGAAAACACTTCTACAACAAACAATAAATCAAACAAACAAACAAACAAACTTGACTGGGCAGGCACGACAAGGCAGGACTGGACACAGCAAGACAGGTAAACATCGACAACATATGATGACGAACTCGCAAAGGACTGAAAACATGAGGGGGATTATAAAGCAAAAAGTAAATTGACACACAGGTGAACATGACAAACTAATAATGGGTTAACAAGGAGGGTGGGACTAGACAATAGACGGGAGAGCGCATGACACAGAGAGACAATACAAGCCATGCGCTCACATAACACAACACTGAAGCACACGACAAAAGCACGTGACCACAATGTAAACACCGAGCCACGTGCTTTGACAAAAGACGCAAGACACGAGCACACGATGAATGAAAACTCACCGTGCGCTCACATATGCAGCATGCATGCTTCATCCCAGCGCCGACCAAAACCGAAACCAACAAGACTGAGACGCTGGGAATGAAACACCATGCTGCTGACAGACGAAAACACAAACACGAGTACAAGAGCGCACGCGTCTGAGGGACGCAGAGCGCACGCGGCCGCGTCAAGCAGGAGCGCGCACACTCTGCGTACAACCACGACGGCGCGCGCGCACACAGAGACAGAAACAGGACCAGACACGAGTAGTGTCAGAGATCCGCCACCAAAACAAGAATTTACAAGATCAGAGTGGCAGAACCCTGACACTATCTATGTATATATATGTGTGTGTGTGTAATTTTATTAATAATATTAATTATATATAATAATATTAATATATTATTATAATATTAATTATAACAATATAATATAATAAATTTTAATGTCAGCAGATTTCATTTTTTAATAGTTTTGAGTAAATAAAATGGGAAAATATGGATAAATTATCTTCAGATGTCTGATATATTTATGTAAAAAGTATTCTAACTTATTAAGTGATGATCACATTAAACTTATACACTTATTATTGTTACATATTGTATACGCGAATAATTAATGATTTTTTTTAACATTATGTATTTTCTACAGGATTTAAATCCCCTTAACAGGACAATACTTGTCAATCATTGTGTTTATTGTTGCTTTTCTGGGTATTTCTATCAAGTGGCTTCCACAATATCACGTGACTGATGAAAATACAAACCTCAAACTGGTTTTGCCAATCAATCTGAAAGTGAAAATAGTTTTTATTGTCATGCCATTATTCAACGGTGCCATATCTGAAGAGTAAAACACACTTGAGAGTGAAACGTGTTTACAGTGAACTACGGTAAAAGCCAAATGGTGA